CTCATCTACAAGAAACCATCATATATTATTATGTACCATGTGTTGAAACTGTATTTAGATAAAGTGACTTCATTTGTAAATGAAGACTCTTAAAGTAATGTATAATAAATTAAGCTCTAAGGTAACCTAGGACATTAAGGTGGCTTTTTCATTTTAAAAAGTGACGCTGTGCCAGATTTCTCCTTTCACAAGAGAAATTGTTGTCCAGTTAGGTGCCACCACAGCAGCAGTGTGAACTTGCAGTCACACCAGAGGAAGAACTGAGAAACTTTCAGGCAAGAAGGAGGGCTGCTCTAGTTCGGGTTTAGGTGCTGGGGCATGTTTTTGAGAGGCAGATCTCGGCTGGCACAGCCTGTGCACGCAGGAAATGCAGAGCACGTTACTTAGGCTACCCAAGATACATTCTGCTATGTCAAAATAATAATAATAATAATAATAATAAAGCCATATAAGCATTCAGGTAAAGTGGATTTGTTTTTTTCTCTGGCCCACAAAATGTGTCATTCTTGTGGATTTGGTTTCCAGGGCCAGTATTGCTGCATAAATCAATGTCTCACAGCAACCCAGGATGTAAAAAAAAAAGTCTATCCGCTGTATTCCTGAAACGTTCTGTGTGTGTCTTTAAACCATCCTCCAACCAAAGTTGCCATCTATAGAATAATTTGTCAAGTTGTTTTAAGAATTTTATTGCAATCTGGTGTTGAATATGTACGTAACATACTCTAAATCATAGATATAGAAATACATTGGTACAATATCCAGACAGAGATTTAAATCTTTCCAAAGTATTGTTTTGATTCTGTATTTATTACCCAAGCGCTGACCTCTGTATGAGTAGAATGTGTCCCACCTCATTTGCAGTAGAAGTGTCATTTTTTCCTGTAAAGTCTTCTGTCTCTTAGCTGGTCTCCACTGTAGTAACTGGATTTTCATTATCCAATTCCATCTTCTAGCTTTTATTAAGAATGAACCGCAGTTTAGGATTCCTGTGTAATATTTGACTTTGGATTATAAATGAATTGTAGCCAGCAGCACTTTCTCCTTGTTGAAGAGCAGTTTCCTGAAGATACTGTTTTACTGCCATTTTGATGAGAGGTTCATTCACCGAGCTAACAGGACCGCCAAAGCCACCCTCGAGCTTTATTCCTCTCACCAGTTGTGGGTAATGCAGGATGTAGCCTTCAATGTATATATTAATGTATATATTCATAAGGTGTCGTTCTTCAAAGCGACAGTGTAAAATGAGCGCCATGAAATTCTGTGTGAAGGCTGCCTCATCCGCTTTCACATTCAACTTTGTTGCATTTACAGTTGGTTTGGGAAACGGCCGCTGTCACAGGATGGCTGTACATAACCTGATGTACTTTCACCTGATGTGCTACCACCAGTAATAAATGTGAAGCAGGGCAGATTAGAGCTTTAATTGTACCTCTGTGAGTACCCCAGGGACAGGGAGTGTGACAACGCCAGCATTTAGCCTGTGGGATCTATTCTCCCTGCTGGTGCAGGAAAAAACTCAGGTTCAAACACCCCCCATACCAGTAAGGATTTTTTTGTTTTTGGTAAATGCAAGGTAGGCAAAGCTGGAGTCAATGAAACACTGAGTCCTGTGTTACCTTTTTGTAAGCTTCCCTCCCAGAATATCACTGAGCTAGAAATATGAAAAAATCCAACCGTATAAAGTGAGGTTTTCAAAACCGACCAGGGTATCACCATGTAACTCTACACCCCAAGCCAAGGATGTACACTGGAGCTGGATCTGCTGATTCAGTATTCTTGATGTAAATCCCGCTGTGTGAGTAAGCACTGCTAGCAGCACAAGGATGCTCTTCTTGCTGCAAATAACAACTCTGCTGTGAGGGTTAGAAAAATTCTGAGGTGGTCGTCCACGGCGACAGATAAACACCACAGATAAACACCAGCTTTGGGTTTTTTTAGGAAACCCAAAGCTTTACCTCCCACAAATGGGTCTGCTTTTCACGCACTCGGCTTCCTCCCCTCTCAGCCCCTCAGAGAAGCCGTGTGCCTTCCAACTTCCTGGCAAAAGCCACAAGGCATTAATACTCCAAGAGCCCTCTTTCTTTCGCAGGGAGGAGAGGAGCTGGGTGCTCGAGCAATGCCCCCTCTCCTTCACCCTCCTCTCCTCAGCACAGACCTGCTTCAGGTACCCTTCAGACTCACCTTCAGCAGCAGCACTTTGGGGAGCTTTAGTCCAATGTCCCCATCCTCTATTTCACAGAAACATAGAATCATTAAGGTTGGAAAGGACCTCTAAGATCATCAAGTCCAACCATCCACCCAACACCACCATGCCTGCTGAGCCATGTCCTGAAGTGCCACGTCTACACGTTTTTTGAACCCCTCCAGGGATGGTGACTCCACCACTTCCCTGGGCAGCCTGTTCCAATGCCCGACTGCT